GAGCAAACACTATGAGGGAGCCCGCCCCTGACAGCGTGGAGGAGATGCTGTAAGAGAAAGAAGAAAAAAATAGGAGGCCACTTTATGGAGAGTAAGGCCTGAAGGTTCACATTTTTAAGAACCAATGTAATGTTCCCTTCCCCCTGAAGTCTTCCTCATTTTTCCCAGTCAGAAGCAAGATGATGCCTCTCTCCTGTCAAATGGAAGAGGATTCATCAGCTATGTCATGATCTTCCCACACACTGTCTTGCACTGTGGCAGTTTTAACAAATGTTTAATCTCCTATTTTGTGTACAGATATATTTCATAAATCCCCGATCCTCTTTTATTATTTTTAATTCATAGGTGGGTTTGCCTAGGCCTAGGACAAGTCATTTTACACAGTATTTCATTCTAGAGGCAGGAGATGAGGAAGAACAAAGACTGTCTTCTTTCTTGAGAACAAATGATGGTCCCCTGAACTATGAGCTCAGAACACCCTGTGGACATATAGAGGTTGTCTTTGAGTGTAGGAAAAACACACTATAAATCAGATAAGGCCTATCTTAAGCAAATACTCTATTGATTAGATCATGTGCTGTTTGAATAACAAGAGTAAATTCATTTTTGCATAGGTCTTTCTCTCCACTACTGATAATCACACCTGGCATTTGTTAACTTCCCCTTTTTGTTTCAAAGAGATATGAGTCATCTGAAGGGAAGAAAAGTTAAATGACTTGCCTACACAGCAGAAAGTCCCAGTGGGTGCAGAGCATATTATATCCAGAAGGGAAAGTGGGATCACTTTAATAACATAAATGTCTACTGATCTTTTTCTAGAGAAGAATGACTACACTTTTTTTTACTATATCATTTGGAAATTACATTACCCTCCTTCCATTCATCCAGATGTAAGCCTCAGAACCATTTTGTCTTCTCCTTTGTCCCCATAATCTAAGATCCCTCCATTCCATTTTGGCAATGTTCAAAACATTCATTTTCTCTGAAAATAATGCCAGTTTCACCACCTAGACTATTTAACAATGACATAAATGTTTTAAATAAATATCCAATCCATTTTCTGCACTGCCAAATACTTTTCTTTCTTTTTTTAAATTAGTATGTCTTCTTTTTTAAAAATGTAAATTATTTTTTAAATTATTTTATTGTTCAATTAAAGTTGTCTGCATTTGCCCCCTCCACCCCTGCCCACCCCAGCCATCCCTACCTCCCTCCCTTCCTTCCACCCTCCCCCTTGGTTTGTCTGTGTGTCCTTTATGGTAGTTCCTGAAAACCCTTCCCACCATGGTCCCCTCCCCTCTCCCCTCTGGCTATTGTTAGATTGTTCTTAATTTCAGTGTCTCTGGTTATATTTTGTTTGCTTTTTTCTTTTGTTGATTTTTCCAGTTAGAGGTGAGATCATATGGTATTTGTCCCTCACCACCTGGCTTATTTCACTTAGCATAATGCTCTCCAGTTCCATCCATGCTGTTGAAAAGGGTAAGAGCTCCTTCTTTCTCTCTGCTGTGTAGTATTCTATTGTGTAAATGCACCATACTTTTTTGATCCACTTATTTACTGGTGGGCACTTAGGTTGCAGTATATGTCTTCTTAAGTGAGTTTTAGATGAATTTTAAAAAACATTTTATTTATTTTTAGAGAGAGGGGAAGTGAGGGGGAAAGAGGGAGAGTAACACTGATGCAAAACATCAATCGGTTGCCTCCTGTAAGCCTCGCCTCATATGGCAACCCAGGCATGTGCCCTGACCTGAATGCAACCTGTAACCTTTCACTTTGTAGCAGGACACTCAACCGACAGCCGTACCAGTCAGGGCCAGGATACTTTTCTTAAAGATTTGAATATTTTACTACTTGATTCAACTATCTGTTGATGTATGTACAGAGAAATCCACATTTTATTAAAATGTGCATCTGAATAGTTGATTCCCTGCTTCACATCTAATCATTCAGGAAAAGAAGAATCTTGCTTTTTCTGAAACACACCTCTGCTTTTTTAATGCTGTGCTTTTCCTTGTTCTTTTCTCAGCACGAAGTCTATACCTAAAAACCTATTGGCCTTGTTCCAGGTTCTGTTGTAAACACTGTGAACACCTTATTTCACTTATTCCTCACAATAACCCCACAAGATGAGTTTTCTTTTTCCATTTTATAGTTGGTACTTGGGTTTAAAACGCTTCCAGAGTTATAAAGTAAGTGACAACAGAATGTGAATTCACCTCTGACGTTAGTTCAAGTGGCGCTCTTCGCCTTCCCTCTTCAACTGACTGACACGCTCCATCTCAAATGCAAATATTTTGTTCCCCTTCTCATGTTCTTTGTGTTGTGACATTTAGTTGGCTAATGTCATGAGGAATTTTTGCCACTAAGCTTATGAGGAATATTTGTCTATAGTTTTGGGCATTGTAATTTTTTCTTTATAATTTCTGTATCCAAGAAATAATGGCCTCATAAAATGAATCAGAAAATATTCCCATTTCTTTTATTTTCCACTAGAATTTGTATAGCATTGACTTTTTTTTCTTTAATGTTTCATAGGTCTTATGATGAAGTCATCTGGGCCTAGAATTTTCTTTGTAGAAATCATTTTAATTATAAATGCAATATTTTAATTGACAAGGGGCGATTCAGATTTTGTTTCTTCTTGGGTCATATTTTATGTTGTCCTTTAAGGAAATTTTCTATTTAAATCTAAGCATTAAACTTACTAGCATAAAGTTTTCCATAATATCCACTCAATATCTATAGAACCCTCTCTTTCATTTTGCTGTTTCTGATCTTGATATTTTGTATGTTTTCTCTTTTTTTTATTGATCAAGCTAGGAGGAGACTTATTAATTTTATTGACCTTTTTAAAAAGCCAACGTCTTGCTTCTCTTATTTTTTCCTACTGCTTTACTCTTTGCTATTTCACTGATTTTCACTTTTTTTCATTCATTCTCCTAAAATAGAGTTTAATGTAAGCCTCTCTTTTTAGCTTCTTAAGTTGAAAGCTTGTATCATTGATTTTGGATCTGTTTTCTTTTCTGTGTAAGCACCAAGTGCTATAAATTTCACTTTAAGCACTACTTAAGTAAGTTTCATTTAACAAATTTTGATATATCATATGTTCATTCTCGTTCACCTCAAAATATTTTCTGAATCTTCTTTTGATTCTGCTTTGAACAATGGGTTAATTTAATTTCCAAATATTGTTTAACTTCCAAACTGTTTAATTTCTAAGTAGTTGGAGGAATTTCCACATGTTTTTGTTTGCATTCTAGTTTAATTTTATTGTTAGAGAGTATACTTTGGACCGTTTTTAACCTTCAAATTTATTGGGAATTGCTGTATGGCCTATGGTCTATATTGGTAAACACGACATGCATACTTGAAAAGATTTTGTGTTATGTTGTGTGGTGTCTCCTAGACATGTCTATTAGCTGGTTGATAGTGTTATTCGAGTCTACTATATTATTCTAATTTTCTGTCTACTTTTTCAATTAAATACTGAGCAAGAAGTATTGAAATGTTCCATCATGATTTTAAATTTATCTATTTCTCTTTTCAGTTCTGTAAATTTGCCCTGCTCGTTATTAAGTGCATATATATTTTTAATTGTTGTATTTTCTTAGGTAGACTCTTTTAACTTCATGAAATGTTTCACTTTTTCTGCAGTAATATCCCTTGGCTAGAAGTTTATTTTGTCTTATACTAATTTAGCAACTCCAGTTGTCTTTTGCTTACAGTTTACATGTACATTGTTTTCTACCCTTGTACTTTCAACCTATATGTGTCTTTGCATTTAAAGGGAGAGTGATGGGGTGAGTGGATGCAGACAACTGTAACTGAACAACAATAAAAAAATAAATTAATAAAATAAAGTATGCCTCTTTTAGCAGGGGGATAAATAGTGATAGAGGGAGAGTTGACTTGGGGTGGTGAGCACACAATACAGTATATAGATGATGTGCTATGGAATTCTGCACCTGAAACCTGCATAATTTTGCTAATCAATGTCATCCCAATAAATTGAATAAAAAGGAAAAAGATTTTAAAAAACAATTGATTAACAGCCTTTATTGCATTTGCAACCTTTAACCTGAATAGCATGTAACATTATATTCAAAAGTTCTAGGGATAATGACATAGACAAATCGGGGGCATTACTGTGCTTACCATATCTCTTCCTTTTTAAAGTATGTTTCTTATAGGCAGCACAGAGTAGAGTTTTGCTTTTTTTCAATGCAGTATCAGATTCTCTGCCTTTTATTTTGTGTTTAGTCTATTTACATTTAATAAAAATTATACTGTGGATTTTAAGTCTTTCATTTTGTTGTTATTTCTGTTTTACTGGTACTCCTGTTTTTTTCTCTACCGCATTTTTTCTGGTTTCTTTTGTGTTGCAAATATGTTGCAGTATTTTATTATAAATCTTGTATTGACTTTTAAAAATATATTTTAGGATATTTATAAAATATATTAAAATCTATGTAGGATTCATTTATTTTAGAGTAATTTACCCTTACTTAAAGACAGATGGCCATACCTATAACAGCTATGTACAAAAAAGTTGTAAAATTGTCCTTGGTTTTACAGTGGTAAATTAAAAACATTAAAATTCTCCAATCAAACAAGGTATGCAAGGATTTTTAAATTGTTCTTTTTGTTAAACCATGAGAGCAAAATAACTTACAGGAATATAATGATAAGAGCTGAATGAACATGCCACCAGTGGAGAAAGGGAGTATCTTCCCAGAACCAGTATTTTTCCCCATTCCATCTCTATTTGATGTTGACCAAAACATACCATTTCCATTTAATTTAAAAAATGCAAGTGTGTATGCACATATATCCAGCTGCTTTATGTACAATAAAGGAATGGAGAAAGGGAAAATGAAAAAACAGAGGAAACTATATTGTAGTAATCAAGATGTGGTGGAACCAAACTGCACTTTTCTAACTGAGAATGTCTTCCTGGTCTGGAGGAACAGAGTTCTGGAGTAAGGTAGCGTGTTCTCTTCTTAGTAGACACCTCCTCTCTGCTGCTGGAACACATCAATTGTGTCTTCATCCTCCATTTCCAACTGTGCAGGTGTATCTGTTTCATTGATTGGCTTCCTGTCTAATCAGAATTTGATCTGCCTCATTGACAAACCCTGTCCTTCCCAATAGGCTTTCATTAGTTTACTAAGTGGTGTATGCTTCTTACTCTTAAACTGTGCAACAGAACAATCTTGCCCTGCCACCTTCAAATTAACATGATCATTGTTCTCAATCTTGACTTCTTTCTTGGGAATGTATTCTAAGCATATTAAAGAGAGATGTTTAGTCCGCCATGGTGAGCACTGGAGTCTCCTCACCTGCTGCTTCACAAAAGAGGTACCAGGTCCATGCCTAAGGAGCACACAAGCAGCATGAGGAGTGGTGGAAGAAGCTAGAAGAGTTTTTATTTCTCTGTTTGTGTTGCTAAATATTTACTCATTAAAATGACATTTTTCATTAATTATTTGAACAAATTTTCTTTCATTATTCGAACATAGTTATAGTACTGTTTTGAAGTTTATAGAATTTCAACCCCTAGTCCCACTTTAAACTAGTTTCTGTTAGTAGTTTTCCCCCCTGTTTTTCTATAACTTATACAAAAATTATGTAAACATTTTTAGTTTGAAAAGTAGACACTGTAGCAACCATGGGAATCTATTTTGCTCTTCTGAGGACTATCAAGTTTATTTTAATTTTATTTTTATTTTTAATTTTATTTTTATTTTTAATTTTATTTTTATTTTTATTTTTGTCTAACAGTCTGGAATTTGCTGGGACTCAAATTATGAAAACTGTCTTCATGTGGTATGTGGTAAATGATGTCTGTGCTCAGATATTTTTTACTTTTAGTTGCTGAGTTTTTTGTTTTTTTGTTTGTTTGTTTTTTCTGGTATCCTAGATGTCTCCACAGCTCAAGGGGGGAAAAAAAATCCTATGACAAAAGAGATGTTTGTGTGTGTGTATCTGTGTGTATGTGACTCATCTTGATTTTGCTTGATGAAATTCACAGGTGTAGGACTGGTACATGTTGAGCATTTCTGCACCACACTGCCACACCAATGGACTTCTCCTTGCCAACATGCCATGTTTTTACACATTCTTATCAGTCTTGCCTCCTCTTCCAGAACATGATGGTAATGGGTTTCAGGGTGTTTCAGAAACCATCCAGTCTACCCCAATCTACTTGTCCAAAGAAACAAGAGGTTATTCATTTTGACTCTGGAGAATTTTACTCATTTGGAAGAAGTTAATTCTGCCAACTCTGCCCTAGGTCTTCTCTTTTTGTTCTCTCTTATGGGGGCGTTTACCACACTTGGGGTGCTTATTTATTTATTATGGGTCAATATAATCAGTATTTCCTACCATAATCAAAGATGGAATTGTTGGATTCTTTTCCTGACTTCCTAAAACCAGAAACATGAAAACAATTAAAATGACATGGAAATGATTTAAATAATAGCAAACATTTGCCTAATACAGCACAATTTTTAAGGCATTATCCAGTTTATTTTCTAATATGATCCATATAATATGTGGAATAGGTGTTATTATAATTACAATTTTACCAAAATAAGGCTAAATTTTCAAAGTCTCTTAAATAGCATTTATGACATGTAGCAATTATGATGCATATTCACAGGGTGCATGAGACAATCATGCTTTAATGTTCCCCGGGGGCTAAACCATATTCCATTCAGCTTAGTTTCCCTGGAACTGCGGCAAGGGCCCATATTTATTTTCACTACAAATTCAATATTGTTTTTCTTTACACATTGTTTCCGTAGCTATAATATTGTAGGACTGATACAGATGATATGAAAAAGGTTAATTTTAGAATTCTAATTACAATTCAATCTGAACATCTAACAATGAAGAATATTCTTATATTTTAAATTTACATTAAGTTCAAAACAGATCCATTTACTTATAATTACACAGTTAAAAACTCACACGTATTTATGTAATATGTAGTAAAATTTAAGCCAGAATATTAATTTTAGCTTATCATTATTTGACATATGATCATTAAGGAAAATATATAACAGAGATAATTACATTTAATTATGTAGACAAAAGAAATATGACCAAAGGAAAAATATAAGTACATTAACGAGAGATCACCAGGGCACCAGACCATGCTGAAATAATTTCCACTCTATGTGGTTAGCACCTGCAAGCAACTTGTACATTATGGCTGGCGTTGATGCTCACAGTTAGTCAGCCAACCTTAGAGTTGACACCATGAATGAACAGGCCAGTAGCAATACTCAATTACAGCAGGAGAGCCCATATAACCCACAAAAGGGACACTCCAGGAGCACCCAGCTCAGGTGATTAAGAAGATTGCACCACTAGGTCCCACGGAACACCTACTACATCAGGCCACCCAACCAAGACTGAAAGTCACAGCAGGTTTACCAAATGCATAGAAACAAACTCAAAGAGGCAGCCAAAATTGGGAGGCAAAAAAACATGCTCCAAATGAAAGAACAGGAGAAATCAGAAAAAGAGCTCAATGAAATGGAGGCCAGCAATTTAACAGATACAGAGTTCAAAAGAATGGTTATAAGGATGCTCAAGGAACTTAGTAAGAAGAACAAGGATCTCAGTGAGAAATACAACAGTATGATCAATGATATAAAGACCATAAAAAGAGTCAGAAATAAAGAATACAATATCTGAAATGAAGAGTTCACTAGAAAGAATGAACAACAGGCTAGATGCAGCAGAGGATCGAATCAGCAATTTGGAAGACAGGATAGCATAAAACTCAATCAGAGAAGCAAAAAGAAAAAAAACATTTTAAAGAATGAAGGTAGTTTAGGAACATTTGGGACAACATGATGCATACCAATATTCACATTATAAGGCTACCAGAAGGAGAAGAGAGCAATCAAAGGATGGAGAACCTATTTGAAGAAATAATGACTGAAACCTTCCCTAACCTAGTGAATGAAAACACACATATGAGTCCTAAATGAGATGAACCCAAAGACACTCACACCAAGACACATCATAATTAAAATGGCAAATATTAAAAACAAAGAGAGAATCTTAATAGCAGCAAGAGAAAGACATGTAGTTGTCTACAAGGTACCTTTTTTCAGACCATAAGACGCACCTAGGTTTAGGGGAGGAAAACGGGGGAAAAATTTGAAGCAAAAAATGGGGTAAAATATTTAATAACATAAATAACATAATATTTCACCAATGTAAATGTAAACAGAACCCAACAGCAGCATTAGCAAGCATCATTCCTCCCAAATTTGGCAGGGTGGGTGCATCTTATAGTCTGAAAATTACGGTAACTCTCATGATACTGTCAGCTGATTTCTCAACAGCAACATTTCAGGCCTGGAGGGACTGGCATTTATTCAGAGGGATGAAAAGAAATGACCTACAGCCCTGGCTGGCGTAGCTCAATGGATTGAGCGCGAGCTGCGAACCAAAGTGTCGCAGGTTAGATTCCCAGTCAGGGTACATGCCTGGGTTGCAGGCCATGACCTCCAGCAACCACACATTGATGTTTCTCTCTCTCTATCTCCCTCTCTTCCCTCTCTAAAAATAAATAAATAAAATCTTTTAAAAAATTAAAAATTAAAAATTAAAAAATAAAGAAATTACCTACAACCAAGACTACTTTAAACAGCAAGGCTATCATTTAAAATTGAAGGAGAAATAAAGAACTTCAGATAAAAAAACTTCAGAAATAAAGAACCAGATTAAAAAAATGCTAAAGAAGTTTGTTACCACCAAACCAGTATTTCAAGGAATGTTAAAAGTCTTCTTGAAGAAGAAGAATACTAGAGGAACATATTTAAAGATTAAAATGACAATAAACACATACCTGCAAATAATCACTTTAAATGTAAATGGCTTAAGTGCTCCAATCAAAAGACATAGCATATCTAAAATAAGAAAAGAAGACCCATATGTATGCCATCTACAAGAGATTTATCTCAGAGTGAAGGATACTCACAGCTAAAAGTTAAGGGATGAAGAGAGATATTTCATGCAAATGGATAGGGAAAAAAGCTGGGGTAGCAATACTTACATCTGACAAAATCGACTTTAAAATAAAAGCTACAGTAAGAGACAAAGAAGGATGCTACAGAATGATAAAGGGATAAATTCAACAAGAGGATATAACCCTTGTAAGTATTTATGCATCCAACATAGGAGCACCTAAATATGTAAAGCATATCTTAATGAACATAATGGGAGAGATTCACAGTAATAAGTCATAGTGTTCAATTTTAACACCCGATTGTCATCACTGGATAGATCTTCCAGACACAAAATCAACAAGGAAAAGGCAGCCTTAAATAACACACTGGGTCAGATGGATTTAATTGATGTCTCTAGACCATTTCACCCCAAAACAGTAGAATATACATTCTTTTCAAGAGTTCATGGAACATTTCCTAGGATAGGCCACATGTTAGAACACAAAACAACTCTCAATAATTTTAAGATTGGAATCATGTCAAGCATGTTCTCTGACCATAATGGCATGAAACTAGAAATGAATCACAATTAAAAACAGAAAACACCCAAAAACATGGAGGCTAAATAACATGTTACTAAATAGTAAATGGGTTAACCAAAGATCAAGGATGAAATAAAAATACCCTGAAACAAATGAAAAGAAGATCACAACAACCCAAAATCTATGGGACACATTGAAAGTGGTCCTAAGAGAGAAATTTGTAGCATTACCGGCCATCCTCAAGGAACAAACAAAAAGGTTGAGCCAAAAAAGAAAAAAAATGAAAAGGTTGAGCCAAAAAAAAAGAAACAAAAATCTCAAATAAACAATCTAACTTTACACTTAAAGAAACTAGAAAAAGGACAACAAACAAAGGCCAAAGTGAGTAGGAAAAAAATAATAATAAAGATCAGAGCAGAAACAAATGAAAACAGAATCTAAAAAATAAAATGATACAAAAGATCAATGAAACCAAGAGCTGGTTCTTGGAAAAGATAAGATTGACAAAATTTTAACTAGACTCATCAAGAAAAAAAGAGAGAAAAATAATCAAAATCAGAAGTGAAAGAGAAGTAAAAAGTGACACCAAAGAAATACAGAGTTTTAAGAAAATATTATGAACAGCTATATGCCAACAAATTGGACAATCTGGAAGAAATGGATGTATTCCTAGAAACATAAATCTTCCAAAACAGAATCTGGAAAAATCAGAACATCTGAATAGATCATTTACAACTATAGAAATTAAACAGTAATAAAATAATTCCCAACAAAAACAAAGTCCTGGACTGGATTACTCTACAGGAGAATTATACCAAACATTCAAAAAAGAACTAAAACCTCTCCTTCTCAAACTATCTCA